TGGTAAACATGGGATAAACAGTCATTGACGAGACAATAGATCCCACAAGGGGCATTTGATAAAAAAAAGGAATAAATGTCTTATTTTCCACATCAACTCATTGATTCTCATTGTCTCCTTGTGGGATCTATTAAGGAATAAATGTCCTATTCTAGTTGATTCTCATTCGGTTGTTTTCTACACAAAACATGATTTTGCTGATCCAAGAACTAGAGAGGTTGATTTCTTTTAACGTGTCCCTGATGTAGTCTCACATCCACTCGTAGTATGCTTTTTCTGAATCAATCTTGATGTCAGGCCGTCCATTTATACTTTTTTTTCTTACGCAAACTATGTAGGAGCTCTTGCAACATCATGATGTTGTCAATCATTTGTCGCCCAGGAATGAAGCCGTTTTGAGTTGGGGAGACAAGTTTATCATTAACGACTTCAATCTGTTAGTAATTGCTTTAGTAATGCCCTTTAAACCCATATTGTTTAGACAGATTAGTCTAAGATGCACAGGAGACTTTGGTCATTCTTTTTAGAGGATAAACACAACTGTAGAGGACATCATTTCCTCCGAAATCACACATGTATCAAAGAGTACAAAAACCATTTAGAAAGATTCTTTCTTATATAATCCCAAAGTGTTTTTATTAAAGACATTTAGAAAACCATCAGGACCCGGAGCCGAAAAGGCTTTCATTTCAAAAATTGCTTTGTGAAAATGTGTAAGGAGGAGGAGGAGGTCTTCTTGAAGCAGTCTTGGGAAAGAATTCTTTGGCATAAGATCATTATAATGGTTTTTGTCTTGGGTGTGTAGGGCCATGAAATATCCACCACCAAATTCTTGAGTTTATTTGGATCTTCCTCCCACTGCCAAGTACCTATTTGGAGGGAGAGAATGCAGTTTTGTCAGTGGCGACGAGTTGCTTGCTGGTAAAAGTATGAGGTGTTCTGTTTACCTAGCTTAACCCATTTCTCTTTAGCGCGTCGATACCAAACCATTTCTTCTTGCGCAAGAATAGTATGTAGCTCTTGCTCCAATTTCGCTTGAAGTTTGAAAAGCCTCATATTGAAAGTAGCGATAATCTTGTCTTACTCCTCAAATTCTAGCTACTTGTGTTTCCTGCGATTATGGCAGAATCCAAAACCCATCTTGTTCCATTCCTGAAACTAGGGGATATTAGTAAGGGCTTAATGAATATCCACTTCCTTCTTCCAATTGTCTACAAAGAACTTGGCAAATTGATCATGTAGCAACCATGCTGTTTCAAAGCAAAACCGTTTGGATATGTTAAACTTGATGGGTGTATTGGAGTTGGAGGTGAATGTTTGGAGATTATCTGGGTGAAGTTTCAAGAGGTGCATGACATATGAGTTGGGGAATACGACATTCCACTCAGCATTACAAAGCAACCTATCAATTCTACTTGCCTTATGAGTTCTGGCAATATTACCTCAGTACCAAGTGAAACACGGTCCTACAAATTAAAAAAAAATGTTAGCTTCATTAATCCAATTTGAAGAACATCGATAGCTTCTGAGGGAAGGAGAAGAATGAATGCGTGATTTCTCTGACGAGGTAAGAGTAGCGTTGAAATCTTCTCTAACAATCTAGGAGAGCTGGACGGTCTTGCTCGTGTAGATGAGACGCTCTTAAAGTAAGCTATGATACTTGCATACAGGGTTGCCATAGACACTGGTGAAGAGCCAAATTCCATCCCTTCTATTAGAATATGACTTTAATTTGATTTGAACTTTCCTTTTGTGTTTTGAGCCTATTCTGTTTAGGTTTGGGTTTGGGCTTTGTTTTAGCCTTGTCCTTGTATGTTTGGAAAATGTGTTTGGTTTTCTGTTTGTGATTAAGATAAGATTTCTATAAATACTCTTCATCACCCTAATCTATGTGTAGTGGTGAGTCAGGTTCATTTGTTTTGGTTTGTCTGTTCCGCAATTTGGTTTGTAGCCTGTACTCTCCTCAAATTAGTGAAATTTGTTCTCCCTTGCCCGTGGATTAGCTAGCACACAATGTGTTAGTGAACCACGATAAATTTGTGTTCGTTCGTGCTAATCTGGATTATTGTTTGCACACTTCAGTTCTGACAAGTCGTATCAGAGCCTGGTTCGGTCTGGGGCGATGAACGTCAGTTTGGTGGGACCCTCATCCGGTGGCCTCTGGATTTGAGATCTGCGTTTGTCTGGCAAGTCAAAGGTGATTCGCGTCTATTTGGTGGATCCACGATAGATCCACGTTTGGGCTACATCTGGTTTGGCGGATCAAGGGAGATCCGTGTTTGATTTGGCAGATCAAGAGAGATCTGCGTCTGATTTGGTGGATCCAAGAAAGATCCACGTCTGTATGGCGGATCAAAAGAGAGTTCCGCGTCTGGAAAAATCCTTGTACCAAGAAGCCCATCGATACAAGGCGTCTGCCAGATCATGATAATCACTAGGGTGAGGACACAAAGTTCATGGTCCTTGTCTTGAGGGGAGGATTGTTATCGGACAATCCAAGTAGCAGATCGGAAATACAAGGGAAGAAACCCATGTATATAAGTTTCCACCTAGCCTAATTAGTACGAGGCCTTTTGGGGAGGACACCCAAGAGTAAAACCGTGCGGGCTTGGTCCAAAGCGGACATATCGTACTAAATGAGTAGCCCGGTTATGACAAGTGGTATCATAGCCGCAGTTGAGTTTCTGGTGAATTGAGCACAAATGCATAACATAATTTTGATTTTTCCTATATTCGTTTTCTTTTTGTGGTCCGAGATTGAAGCAAGGAAGAAAAATTAGTCGCAGCTGGAAAGTAGATAGTGTTTGGAATTTTAATTAATTCCAATTGGGGCTGCAATTTTGATTGGACGGCGCTTAGTAGCAATTGGAGTGGATGCTAATTCCGGAGTTAAATTTTATTAGTTGCTGGTGCTCGTTAATTCTTTGTTCGGCGGCGATTTGGTATTGGATGGTGATTCCAATCTTTCACCAGTTTGGAGTTGCATTGTTTGGTTTGTCAAGAAGAAAGTTTTGGAATTTGGAATTTGCGACAGGAAGCTAGTTGGCGGATCAATTGGAATTCGGAAGCAATTACTTGAATTTATTGTGTTCGGTAATAGCTTGTAGTTTCGGGAGAATTCTGTTTGTTGTCCTTGGTGGTGATTAAGATTTTCGATCATCAAGGATGTTTGTTTTGGATTTAAAGATGGAGAATTCAATTTGGAGCTACAGGTTTGAAGTTAGATTTAAATATGATGTTGGTGTTATGGACAGAAATAACACCAAGCTGGTTTTGCATGGCAAGTCCTACCATGGGTTGGACTTGCTATATGTTTTGATTTGTTGACAGCCCTTAGGGGCATTTGGAGACAGGGGAGGTTCGGGTACACTTGGAGATTTGGAGAGTTTGGTACTTCTGACATTTTTTATTGCATTTGAGTTTGGCGATATACATCGCATTTGAGTATGGTGATATGGATCACATTTGGATACGTCTGGCAATTTTGATTGCATCTGAGTTTGGCAATTTGCATCGCGTTTGAGTTTAGGGGTTTCGATCGCATTTGGATACGTTTGACGATATGTATCGCGTTTGGGTACATCAGGCAACTTTGGTTGCGTCTGGTAACATCTGGAATTTGGGAGAGAATTCAAGTCAAGATGGAGATTGTTAGAATGTGACTTGAATTTGATTTGGACTTTTCTTTTGTGTTTTAAGCCTATTCTGTTTGGGTTTGGGGTTGGGCTTTGTTTTAGCCTTGTCCTTGTATGTTTAGAAAATGTGTTTGGTTTTCTGTTTGTGATTAGGAGAAGAGTTCTACAAATACTCTTCATCACCCTAGTTTGTGTGTAGTGGTGAGTCAGGTTAGTTTGTGTTGGTTTGTCCATTCCGCAATTTGGTTTGTAACCTGTACTCTTCTCAAAATCAGTGAAATTTGTTCTCCCTTGCCTGTGGATTACACATTGTGTTAGTGAACCACGCTAAATTTGTGTTCCTTCGTGTTGATCTGGATTATCGTTTGCACGCTTCTATTCTGGAACCTTTTCCCTTCAACCTTGACTCGTAAACTTCAAAAATACCCAGTTCGTCGCTCGAAAATCATTGTGTTATATTGGAGCTAGTATCATATCCGAGGACAGAGCTGCCAAGGTAGAGAGGTTATGAGTTGACATTTCCATCATGTCTACATCTGTGGCATCCGCTTTCCCCAGGTATTGGAAATCAATAGCTTTCTTTTGGGCTTTAGTGAAGATCTCTTCAATTTCTTTGACTGTGACAGGGAAACTTGATTCTTTCATTTTGTTATCAAGGTCTCTCTTCGAAGATTTTCTAAGTTGGTGAGGTTTCTTGGTTGATCGGAGTCGGACTCCTCTATTTCTTTCCAGCGTTAGTGATTTTTCTCTAGTCTTCTTCTGGTAGTAGTCTTGGACGGAGGATGAAGCACAAATTGGGCCGTTAAAGGATTGGGTTTGGAGTCTGAAGGCTTTAGGTCCGTAGGTTAATGAATTATCATCGGTAATTAGAGCTTCCTTTTGGGCTTGAGTGTCTGGTCCAATATCCCTTATGCTAATGGGATTCTATTCTTACATCGCAGTTGAGGCCTTCTTCCCGCTAGCAATTGTTCTGTCTAGTGTTTCCTTTTTTTTGTTCCTTGGCGAGCCTCTTGCGTTCCTTTTTCTTCATCAGTGATCATTATTCCTTGTATAATTGTACTTATGGCTTTCACTTACTATTTCTCTAGCCAGAAGATTTTCCAAATTCGTTGGTCATTATTAAAGGTGAATTTTGTTGAGAGTCTGAAATTTTGGCCCAGACCTTGAGGATCTTACGAGAGGGATCATTGATTCATCAGTTCTTCCTGAGCCCCTGAAATTTCTTCACTGGCTTATCTCTAATTTTTTTTCTTCCTTCCTTGCTTGCATCATCATCATCATGTTTTGTTGAAACTCGGTATTTTCTTACTTGCTCGTGCCACTAAAGGGATTAAGGTCAGCCTCCCCTCCTTGATGTGCCATAATATGCTTCAGTATGTTCCCTATATTGAATACCATAGTGTGGGCCTTCCATATGGTACCCTAGTCACCAAGTTTATTGAGGCATCTAGTGTTAGACTTGATGATTATGTGTTCTCCAACTCCAAGTCTGCCAGCATTACTGTGGCTCGTGTGATGAAATTAAGCAACACCTACAATGCTCGCCGAGATCGAATTCATGATGCGGAGGAGGACGCACCAGACAAACATCTTCGGATTGGGGCAAGACCGTGTAATAATGTGCTTGATGTTATCCTCGACAGTGATGATGAATCTAATAGTGGTGAAGGTTTGTTTGTTAGTGAATATCGTTAGCGGTAGAGAGAGGGATGCAAGGGCCGGTTTAGTGAAGGACCAGAAAGGAGGAGACGAAGAAGAAGAAGTTTGTTTGTTTCGTGCTATGCATTTCTGTTTTGATTTTATATACTGTATGTGTAGAATGGTAGTCTTGTTTATATTTTCGCGAACAGTGATGGTTTCGTTAATGTTTGAATTGGTGTGTCGGGTATGTTGAGTAATGTATGTTTGGGACACCATAACAATGGGTGTTTCTCTATAAAGCTTACCACACACCCCCACAACTCTCATTATGCAGCCCACAATATTTGTTTCAGATACCATAACAATGGGTTGTGTTTCTCTATAAAGCTTACCACACACCCCATAAGTGTCCTGATGCAGCCCACAATATTTGTTTCGGACACCATAACATTCTTTCATGAGGCTAGGGCCATCATATTTGTGAATGGTATTGGGTTATTTTTGTGTCATATCATTACCACTAGGTGAGTGAGAAAGAGTCTAGTCCACTTACCCAAGCTGAGCTGTCCCCTCATTTATTCTTTTAGATTCCAAAAAAATATTTTTTTTAGCATGTCCCCTCTCTTCAATGCATTCTATTCCCTTCACTCATCAAAAGAGCTTCATTTCCTTCCCTCTAGGTTCATGCGAAACTCTGCCCTTTCTTCTCTGATCGTGCTTTAGTTCTTCTTCGACTGTTGAAGCTCCTGTTCACAAAACACTAATGGATTACTTCTACGATACTGAGTCCAAACTTCATTTGGTGCATTCCTTATCCGAGAAGTTCTGTGTGCAACTTACGATCCCCAGGAAGTATTCCAGTTCTTTGGTTCAGATGTGCGAATGCTGGAGGAGTATGAGTTCAGTTCCCTTTCTCTTTTTCCTTCCGGGGTACGTGCACTTGTTACCAATCTTGGGTGGGAGAGTTTTTTTGAGGTTAGAAGAGCAAATCCCTGCCACTTCTACCACATTGTTGTCCGGGTTTTTTTTCAATCTTGTGAAAGGAGGGCGTACGGTTTTTTGGTACATACTTCATTTCAAAGTTTCTGGGTGAAGAGGTTCGCTTTGATTGGAAATTTTTTGGGGAAAAACCGAATTTTCATTGCGGAGGTGTCTGCTTGTAAGATGAGCAGAAGTATGTGAACTCTGAGTTAGATCTCTAGGTGTTAACAGGAGGGATCAAAGATAACTCTGTTTTAGATGATGATCTTCGTTTGCTTCACTGGCTTGTCACTCATTTTTTCCTCCCCCACAACATTTTCCATAATGAGTTGCTTCCCCTTAATATATTTTTCCTGTCCCATGCATCCAGAGGGAAAAGGGTCAATCTTGCATCCCTAATGTGTCTACATATACTCAAATCTGTCCCTGATATTGATCACAATGATGGTATTAGCCGTCAATTCTCCAGTAAGTAAAAAAAAATAAACGAAGTGGATAAAAACATGGTGACAAAAGTAGACGGCTAGAAGAAGCACGGGACACGCAACGGCCAGCAGAAACCAAGTCGGGGTGTCGTTAGAAAGTTTCCAGAAAGTCACCGAAAAAGTCGTCGGAAAATTTTCGGCATTGATCGGCCCCAAAATCGCACAGCACAAGCGCCCCAATGTGGGAGGGGTGGAAACGAAGTCGGATTTTTAATCCGAGGTTGGACGATGACGGGATCTACAATTCACCGTCACATTGGGGTGCTAGGCGGAACAGAGAGGAGAGAGAGGAGAGCAATTGGGGGAAGGAACCAGGGGGAAATGAGGGTTTCGCCCAGATTTCGCATTTATATGGGGAAATCCACGGTCGTGGATTTTGGAGGTCAGACAGTGGATTTGCGAAAATTTCCCCTGTCTCCCAGAAACAAAATCCACGGTCGGGGATTTGACCTTTGGACCGTGGATTTTGAGCAGGGGAAAAGAACGATTGGGAGGGTAAAATGCACGGTCGGGGATTTGAGAGCCAGGATCGTGGATTTCACCAACCTTAGCCAAAAAAGACCAAAAACACACCGAGCCAACTATGGACGAAAACGGCGATAACAAAGACAATCGATGGGCTTAGGACGCGACAAACAGGACATAGAACGGACATAGACGACGCTAACACAAAAAGAAAAAAAGGAAAGAAGAGCAAACCAAGGTTGGGTTGCCTCCCCACAAGCGCTTTCTTTTACGTCTTTAGCTAGACACATCGAGCGGAACTAAGGGTCCACGAGTTGAACCACTAACTCTGCGCGTTCGAAAACTCCTCCCAAGTACAATTTGAGGTTATGCCCATTCACCTTGAAGGGCTCAGTTTGCAGATTGGTGATTTCTATGGTGCCATAGGGAAATGCCTGGGTGACCGTGAATGGTCCAGAGCACCGGGAGCGAAGCTTTCCCGGAAAGAGTCACAGACGGGAGTTGTATAGAAGAACGCGATCGCCCACCTGAAACTCTTTATGGCCTTTGAGTTGGGCGTCGTGGAGATGCTTGGTTCGCTCCTTATACAGCCTGGTGTTCGCATAGGCATGATCACGCATCTCCTCCAACTCCACCAACTGCTTTTTTCGCTCGGTACCTACAAGACTCAAGTCAAGATTTAGCAGCTTAAGGGCTTAGAAGGCCTTGGGCTCTAGCTCGACAAGCAAATGACAGGCCTTTCCATAGACTAGCCAATAGGGAGAGGTACCAATTGGCATCTTGTAGGCCTTCCTATACGCCCATAGAGCATCATCGAGCTTGGTGGACCAATCCTTATGGGATTGATCCACCATTTTTTTAATGATCCGTTTTAGCTCCCGGTTCGTCAGCTCGGCTTGGCCATTTTTTTGGGGGATGGTAAGCCACCGAAAACTTATGCTTGACATCATAACGGGAGAGGAGCTTAGTGAATTGCCTTGAAAATGAGTTCATATATCGCTAATGATGGCTCGAGGTGTCCCGAACCGGGAGAAAAGCTGCTTAAGAAATGAGCAGAATCGTCTTGCGTCATTGGTGGGCATAACTTGAACCTCTTGCCACCTCGAGACGTAGTCCACAGCAACCAGAATATAGAGATTAGTGAACGAAGGAAGAAATGGACCCATGAAGTCGATGCCCCAGACATTGAAAATCTCACAAGTTACAAATAACTTCTGAGGCATCTCATCACGAGCAGAGATGTTACCTGACCGCTGACAATAATTTCACTGGCGTGCGAAGGTATCACCATCCTTGAAGAGCGTGGTCTAGTAGAAGCCTGACTGCATCACCTTCTATGCCGTGCGGTTCTCGCCATGATGACCACCCTGTGGGTCCCTCATGACATTGAGACATGATGTCTTCCATCTCCAGCTCCATAATACAACACCGAATCACGACATCTGCTCTAATCCTGAAGAGGTAAGGATCCTCCCAGAAGTAATGCTTCCGGTCGGAGAAGAAATTCCGCTTGCCATGAGTAGCCATCCCCTTAGGCATTTATTTGCCCACCAGATAATTGACAAAGTCAGGATACCAAGTGGTAGGGATGGCAATGGGGCGGGTTTGCCTAAACCATCTTCATCCCCATTTCCAAATATCCATACCCATACCCGCCCCATACCCATGCTGGTGGAAGATTTGCATACCCATCCCCATACCCGCGGGTTTCGGGTACCCATGGGTAATACCCATCCCCATGTATGAATTACTTTTACCCCTAATAATCAACATACATTCTTCAATTATAACACTAAAACAACCAAATATTTGATGAAACCAACAAAGTACAATCATTCATAATACGAAAAAACATTCCATCCTTTGTTTAATTGTTTCTAAAAGATCAAAGTCTACTAGATTACTTAAAACACACAAAGTCAAATTGCATTGCCTCTTCCAAAAGCATTAAATAACATATCTTCTTCATTTCTCCATACCTACAAACACAAAAATAAAAACATCGAACATTAGATATATGCAAAAAGTAATTGAAAACAAAGCGCTAAGAAAGTGTCCTTATGTGATCATCAGATTCGGCATCCGAATCAAGTGCAAGACCTACAACAAAGATAAAATAGATTTAGATACAGTTCAAAATGATCGACTATAGAAAGAGGATGCTCATGCACCACAATAATGGAAGCCAGAGTTTTACGTGCCTCTTCCTCATTGAAGTTTCCAAGTGACTTCTGAGACATTTGACTTGTCACATTCTTCACTAGCAATGGTTGTCTAATATCTTTATTCTTCTTATGGTATCTTTTATAATGTTCAAGAAGATGACTAGTACCATTTTTTGAACCTGCCTTCAGATATTTCTTGGAATAATGACATTTAGCTTTTATCTCTTCACCATCTTAATACCTTGTGAAGTGTTTCCAAGCATCACTCTTAAATCTATTACTAAGCATATCACTATCATCTCCTTCACTCATTACAACATCACCTTGGTTTGTAGGAGGATTGTTGGCAGCATTACCAACAACAAGAACAATAGGGGGGGGGGGGTGGTTGAATTCGTTGTTGGTATAGAAGTTGTTTGGGTGGCAACAGTAGTTCAATTTACTCCATGGCTGCAGGTGATATTGCATCAGATTGTGAAGAGTTGCTAGCCATCTAAAGACAAGCAGCAGACTTCCTGAAAGAATAGAAATTTAAATCAATTGTAAGGTCAAACACCATTAATCATTTAATTCAAATGATCGACTTCCAAGTTCCAAAACAGTAAAGCAAAACAGCCTAGGTAATGTAGAGTGAATGATGATCCCAAAACACTAAAGACACAAATAGACAAAGAATTGACAGTATCCATCCAAAGCTGTAGGAGAAACAGTCGCATGACCATTTTTATTGACAGTAAGCACCATCAATCTCCCCTCCACACTATCACCACTATTTCCACCCTTCTAATAAAACAAGCATAGCATATTCTGAATGAAAAAGGAATGAGTGATGACAATATGACAACTCGGCCTAACCAGGAGCATTCTTAGGCCTTAGCTCGAAGATGGGAAACTCAAAGTTCTTACCTAGTTGATGTTGCCCTGCCACCGCCGATTTTCGGGAAGTCAGATGCCTCGC